TGGAGGGTTGCTGGGGGCTGGTTCTAAGAACTCTTCTCATCTTTGATGCAGTGATGCATCCAGCTCTCTGCCTAAACCAAATCCTGCTTGCCCTCTGATCTCGGGCAGCCCTCTCTACAGCCTGGACTGGGGACGGGGTGAGCTCTTCAAATCTGACACAGCTCTGCAAGCTCTTTGGGTGGTAACTGCAAAGTTTCTGAAGTTCTATAGTCAAGAACAGTTTTAGGGAGCATACTAGATTTGGGGATGAATTCTTTGTAGTAAGGCTCCCGTGCCATCAGTGCTGCACTCTTTGGACAGTTTTTACTTAAGGCATCAAAAAACCTACTACAGGTTTCCGATCCCTTCTTCACCCTTGGACACAGACGCGATTTCACAGGCTTGCTGTCGGTTGTCCTGCCATCAATGGAACGGTCAAGCTTTAGTTTCTTGGACTTTGCTGAGGAGAAGTCAATCATAGCAACGGGGGCAGCAGGAATCTGAAAATAATTTAATCCAAATAAGGTAATCAAGTCCAAATGTTTTAGCTTGGCCTGCCAGACTCCACCTCTGTTTAATTCTACACAGATAAGTACTACTCTGTGTAGAATTAAACAGAGGTGGAGTCTGGCAGGCCAGGCTACACATTTCTAGGGTCTATAACACACTTAAACGCTGTAACAAATCTGGCACTCGTTGCAGGTAAAGCATTATAGGACTGAGATCCAACAAGGCATTCAGGTATTTAATTTTGGCTGTATTAGTTCTTTGCCCCAAAAAAGAAGCTGTGGTTTACTAAAATGTCACAAGCAAAATAACTTTTAACTGAATACAAACCAGAAAACAAAAACCTTTATAGGACAATAAAATAATACGGCAGCGTAGAGCTGCCACCCTACGCAAAATAAAATTGGAGCGATATCACGTTATAACATATTAACTTTATTGTTCTAACAATATAACTTATTGTTCTAACAATATAACTTTCACGTTTGTACAATATAATTATCACGTTTGTACAATATAATTATCACGTTTGTACAATATAATTATCACGTTTGTACAATATAACTTTCACGTTTGTACAATATAAATATCATGTTCATACAATATAATTATGACATTCGTACAATATAATTATCACGTTTGTACAAAATAAATATCACGTTCATACAATATAATTATCGTTTCACACGAAACGACACACGACAGAGAGCTGGCAGATCATCTCCCGGAAACATGGCCTCAAACACAGACACCCCACTTCTGAGATTTTTACGGAACCGTGGTGTACCTGAAGACTGTCTCTTACGAAAGCTACAAGATGGTGTAAGTGCTCTCTTTCAAGGAACATTTGTAAACTTTTAAGCAGGTGTGCTTGAAACGTGTGCTGTGCTATTTTAGTAAGTAACTTACTAGAGCCAAGCCAAAGGGATCACAATTCGCCCACTTTGGAGCACGTTTGGTTATTTAACGGCGTCTAAATCACCGTCTTTAAGCTTAAAACGCCGAAAAAAGACTGCGGTCAAGTGAGCCGTCGTTCGTCTGGCCGTGGTCAAGTGAGCCGCAGCTAGAATTGAAGTGCGCGTTTATACGGTAGTTTACGGTAACACCGTCTGCAGGAGAAGAGCTGAGTTGAGCGACAGAATGGGCTGAAATCAGGATGACAGAGCTGCTAAATGTGCCTTTTTGATACACACATACTAAGTACCTCAAGTACTACCAATTACTACTAGGCTTTTCTTAACTGTCCGTTTACGAATCTTTGTAAAAACACGAACCAAGTTGGCTTTTACTTTGAACTCTCCTTAGCTAAAAAAAGGAAAACCCTTTTCTTTACGAGTTCTCATGAGGGCTGATTTGACCAGGAAAGATATGTAAAACATTGATTTAGCTTTTTCCAAATGAACTGAGCGTTTAATTTTCTGTAGAATAAATGATGTGGAGCATCTAATAACACTGCTGGCACAGATTGAGGATAAAAATAATAGAATTGCATAGAATGGCATGACAAATCATTGTCATAGCACAAGTAAAAATTACATTCAGCTTCATTAATTAAATGTATTGTGACTGGCAGTAGGTGTCTCTTTGTAAAGTAATAAATGTCTCTGTTATTTCAGATTGATGCCACAGTGATTGATTTCATGGATGATAAGACCCTGTCTGGTTACATCCCAACATATGGTGATAGGATAGCTGCAAGACGGTTCTGTTTGGATAATAATGATGCAAGGACAAAGGAATCAAGAAAAAACTCATTTCTTGAACAATTGAAGAAAAAGATGGGCATCGATGAAAATGGGAAGAACCCCGATCATGAGGATAAGTTATCTTGTAAGAGAAAAAGAACATATGCACAAAACAACAAATGGGCTCAGAAAAAGACTAGAAAAATTGAGCTGGGCTGGATCCATGAAGGTAAGCAAGTGAGAAAGCGCAGAGAAGGAGGAACAAGGACCTTTGATGTTCCCAAAGACTCCAAGAAAGCTGACTTATTACAGTATGCCAAGGATCTTTTCTTTCCAAACGGAAAAAGCAGATTTGGAAGATGGGATGTGTTCAGATGTGATGTATTAGACTATCAGGAAGAGGCTGTACTTGATGACGACATCTCAGTTGGGGAGCTCTACTCAATACTTAAAATGGGAATGTTGAGATTTTACTTGTGCACAAGAAGACTTTCTTACGAAGATGAAGGCAAAGAAGATGAAGTTAGTGATAGAGGGGAAACATGTGAAAATGTGACACAACTGACTGACTCACATCAAGAAGATGAGGAAGCTTCTCAGACTGTTGTGATCTTGTCATCAGATTTCAGGAATTCTGGTGAAGAAGCATCATCAGACACATCTGAGGTAATGATTGGTCCCTACCTTGGAGAACCTCTGGCTTGTCACCTTGATGACACATTAATAGGTGAAGCAAACCTGCAGTTAGAAGGAGATGATCTGGTCATCACATCCATTACATTTCCTCCAGCAAGCACTCCAGGCAGTTATACAGATACACCTATAAGCAATGAAGCAATGAGTTCTTCTGCATCATATGAAGTAGTCTGTGTCACCATCAAAATCCACAGGGTTAACATTCTGGAGGAGATGATCAACCAGTTCAAAGATACAGCACTCCTGAGACACCCATTAAAATACACCTACATTGATGAAAAAGGAGCAGATGCAGATGGTGTATCAAGAGATGTGTATGCTACATTTTGGGCAGAGTTTGTTGACAACACAGCTGAAGGAGAGGAGTTCAGAGTGCCATCACTGTCTCCTAAATGGCAGGAGGAAGAATGGAAGTCCATCGGTAGAATTTTACTGAAGGGATTTCAAGACCATGGATATTTCCCTTGTCGCCTTGCCCCTGTTTTCACAGTGGCACTTATCTTTGGTGAAAATCAAGTTACAGATGATATGTTGTTTGAAAATCTCCTCTTATACCTAAGCCAATCAGATCGGGATTTAATAACAAGAGCTCTAAAGGAAGATCTTTCAGAAGAAGACAGGGATGAACTTCTGGATCTCATGGATCGCCTGGATGTATCAGTCATCCCAACGCAAAAAAACTTAAAAAGCATTCTTCGGAAAGTTGCTCACAAGCAATTGATCCAAAAACCATCTTATGCCATGGAGAAAATTTCATTAGTTGCATGTCACTTTCTAAAAGAAGCTTTCCAACGCCCACAACATGTCCTACAAATGTATGAAGATAAAAAGCCAACAACAAGAAAGCTTTTGAAGTTGCTCACTGCATCTCCCATCTCTGAAGCCGAGAAGCAGAGTTTCAGATTTCTGCAGCAGTACATCAGAGGACTTGATGATGCAGGCCTCAGAAAGATGTTCCGGTTTGTTACTGGGTCAGATGTCATCTGTGTTCAGAAAATTGAAGTGCTGTTCACACCTGTGGATGGACTGGCACGACGCCCTGTGGCACACACGTGTGGCCCCGTTCTGGAAGTACCATGGACATACACGTCCTACCCAGAACTACGAAATGAACTGGATAACATTTTGGCAGCCAAAAACTGTTATGAGTTTAGCATAGCTTAAGGTCTCTCATGTTTAAAACCCTAGAAACAAAGAGTTGAAGAAACAACATGGTGCTAATGTGTTTGTTAAGCCCACCTCCGCAGTGAAGACATTATGAAAAATGAAAGAGCTAAAATTTCAGGAGATGTTTTATTAGTAACCAAAAAGGCTTTTGAATATATTTGAGTCTCTTGGAGGGTATGCCACATATTCTCCATCATCAAAATGTACATTTCAGTTTACAGTTTCATACATTAAAGCTTTACTGCTCGAAATGAAGCATGTTCAATCCGTTCATACACTATGAAAGTTGGACAGTGTTTATAATGATAATGTTTTCATGATCTGACAAGGTTTCAACAGGTCTGTTTTATAAAGATGTCTGTTACAGCTCACGTTTTTTAGTAATGATTCAAGCATTACTATTGATTATTTTCAGGAGTTTTTTTTTACTGTGTGCCAGTTATTTGATTTAGAACATATGTTCAGGAAGTTCTTAACAAATTTGCATGTCAGTCTGTGGATTGATGCAAAAGTTGACTGGAATAAGATACACAGAAGATAGCCATTGGCAAAGTTAATTATGTAGCTTCTCAAGAGTGCATTTTTTCTTCTTGAATTCAAATAAAAGGAAGGTTAATATCTAACAACGTTTGTTTATTGTTCAATAATTCTGAATCGTAACATTAACTGTTCAAAAGTTGATAGCAGTTTTATATTTGTTTATTGAATCTGAAACACAGATGTCATGAATATCAACTGTCATGTTCAGAAATTAAAAAAATGGTTACTCATCAATCTGAAAATAGAAATCAGATATAGCAGAAATGAAGTCATTAAAATGTTTTGAGAAGACGAAAGGTTAAGGTTCTTCAGTGCCTTTTTCCATTGCCACTGATTGATTAATTAATTTATTTTTGACTATTCAATTACTTCAAAGTTGTAATTTGCATTAATAAATATAGGTGGCAAAGGCTTTTGATAAAAAGGAAACAAAACCAAGGAAATTCCCATGACTGTTTCGGAAAATCATATAAAAATGAACAATATTGTTTATATAAAGCTGTGAAAAGACAGATTTGAAAAGATAACATCCCAAAATCAATCAGATTACCTTTAGTTTTAAAATCTAACTTCAGAAAATAACATTCTCTTGTTTTTTCAAAAAAGGAAGCAGATAACATATCTTTCTCTAAATTTGAATTCTAGTTGTATCATTTACTATAGGACAAAAAGTATCAAAGAAACTAAACACAGGTGGTGATCACATGGACATTTGATCACCAATGATATCAATATGGTATAAATATATGCAAATATGTTGCAATACTTCCATACATTCCAAATGTTTTTTGAAGTTTATAAGTCCTTCAGTATGTAGGCTCTCAGGAAGAGATACAGTTCAATGGCTTCATCTGCTGTGCTTGGTGGAAGTAAGAAGTTCTCTGACATTAAAAGGCAACACAGGCTGAATACTGTTTCATCGCAGGTATATGGTCCTCTCATTTGGCATTCTTCTTTACATGCATCCACTGCCTCCTGAGAAACCTCTCTCAGATGATCATGTCCTCCAAAAAGATGTGGAATGGTGTACATAAGAATTGGACGTCCACTTGGAGCAATTGCATGTCTGCTTCTGCGGATGATATGGGTGTTCCACAAATGCACAACTTGCTGCAGCTCCTCCTGTAAAATATTAGCAATTTAAAAGATCCACTATCAGTAAAATATCAAGATTTTTGGTTTAGCATTTTAACCCACAAGCATCACATGCAGCCAGTCAGGGAAACGATTAGATTTTATGAAAAAAATGTACTCATAATTACGAATAACAGTGGCGCGAGCAAAATGGAGTTGTCAACAATGGAAGCTTTTTTAAGTATGACCAAAACATTACCACAATAAGCCTGGTCTTGTACACACACACACACACACACACACACACACACACACACACACACACACACACACACACACACACACACACACACACACACACACATGCTTAGCGGGTAAATACAGGCGTGGTGGCCTACCTCAATGATGTTCAGGCAGGTAAACAATATGAGCTGCTTGTCCAAGAAGCATCCAGAGAAACAGTCTTTGTCCTTTAGTTCCTGGAGACGATTCATCCAGTGCTGAGCGTGGTGCCGTCTCAGAAACGCCCACCAGCCTTCAATTCGCTGATTGTGATTGCTGGACCCAGTGATAAAACTGTTTCTGACATTTTGATCCTGAGTCCATCGCAGGAATCTCTGCATCTCAGCCATTATGACATTTTCTGTTCCTAAATCAGAGCGAATCCTTGCAGCTGTGCCCATCCTCTTCTCAACTTCTGTGATGAAATATCCTGCGATGACTTTGGGGTCGTTGTTTGTTGAATAGGCATGAAGCCAAATCATTACTCTTGAAAAGCCATCAATCGCTCCATTTATGCAGATTCCAAATGGTTTTAGTTTGTCATAGGAGTCAACATGCCACATGAAATTCGGTCCAGGATTAACATACGTGTGGCGCGTTAGGCGATTTCTGCGTCTTTGCGCAACCCCATGAGGGTCAATATATTTCAGTAAATGTCTCACAGTGCTCTGCGTGACAACATAACCCGCCTGAATGCAGTTCAGGTGGTGTAGTTTGTATCCATGAAGCCTCCCGTACCCCTGCAGTTGATCTATGAGAAATGCAGCAACCTCCAGCGGATCGGAGTCATTCTTCCTCCTGTACAGCCCCATGCGTTTTAAGTTCCTTCTCAGCGTCCGCATGCTTATTTCAATACCGTCCAAGCTGCTCATCAAGAGCAACATCTCTCCGTGCCTCAATCCAAGCATGAAATAGAATTTAATGAGTTCCGATAGACGAGACATTTTCTCACTCACTCAAAACGTGTTATTTATATATATTGTACAAACGTGATAATTATATTGCACAAACGTGATAATTATATTGTATGAACATGATATTTATATTGTACAAACGTTAAAGTTATATTGTACAAACGTGATAATTATATTGTACAAACGTGAAAGTTATATTGTTAGAACAATAAAGTTAATATGTTATAACGTGATATCGCTCCAATTTTATTTTGCGTAGGGTGGCAGCTCTACGCTGCCGTAAAATAATGTTTACAAAGAGGAGAGACTATGTGGACAAGAGGTCAGGGATTGAACTTGGAAAAATCCAGACAGAGCCATGAGATTATACAAAGCAGCAGAAGAAATCACAGCTTTTGCTGCTACTCACTAGGGGCAAGAAGTGACAAGTCAGCAGCCGTTTCTATCTCATGCTTGAATGGTTCTTGAAAACTTACAGTAGGTCTTGATATTTGATTAAATGCACTAAGTGTTTGCTCCTCTAAGTTTGTGAATATTCCACCAGAGGGGATAATATAATCGGGTAGGCAAGTTGAAAAATGAACCTCCTCCTCATAATGGGGTGAGAGCGTGAGCCCTCTGTGCATTTTGTACAAGTAAAATTTAAAAGGAGTCAAAAAAATCATGATTAATATCTAATATCTCTGGGAAAATAAAATGTAGACGAGGATATGTAATCAACTTGTCTACAAAATATTAGATCCTTGTAACTGAACCAGAACAAAGTCATAAACAATAGGGCACAACCTAATCATTTACATCTCATAGTTAGCCTAGTCTTCCATGTTGATCAGAAATGACATTCTCTGATTATTGTTACCTATTTAACATGTGATGGCATCAACCACTTGCACTGCTCAGATGTACAAGAAGCAGAGTCTCGCATTCTCACCCCGGCTTCAATGGAGAACAGGACTGCCCCCACATGAGAACATGACTCCGATAGTCTGTGAATAGAACACTATACTGTATGTACAACACGAATCCCATATAAAGAATCTCAGCCTACATAGATCACTTACCCTGCCATGCAGTTGCAATGAGCTGCAATAACTTCACCATCTTCCTTCGAAATAATCCACGTCTTCAGAGGTGTTTCACTCGATCTTTGTGAGTGGTTTACCTTGAAACATCAACGACTGTCAGACTAATGACGTCGTTATTGTGTGTTGACGTTAATCCTCCTAGCTGCTAACTAGCCTAGCGTGCCAGGCTCGTACTCCGTTTAATTCTACACAGAATGATAGTTCTCTGTGTAGAATTAAACAGAGCACGGGCCTGGCAGGCTAGGCTAGCTGCTAACAACTTTACGTATAAACCAATCTAAAGACAAAAACTCACCCTGGCGAATACCAGACGATAATCATTACGGAGCCGTTTAGTACCGAGGGTGTGGACCCACCCGCTAATAAAAAAAATTATATGCCTCCAGACTTTTATATGCTTTCATTTGTTGTTTAGTGTAGAACGATGTCTGAAGGACCAGGTAGTTTGTAATATCAACAGACTCTATTCTCGGCAAAGCCGTTAATTCTGGGGTAAACTCACTCATTTTCATTAAATACGGATCACGTCCAACATATTTGTTTGTTAAATCCGTGTACCTTTGTTTCGAAACTGAGTCTAAAGACATGCAATGAGGACTCTGCTGCGGTTTCCTCCATTGCTGTACTCTACTGTTTACTTCCTGCCCTCCAACCAAAATCCGCGCGGTGACTGAAACACAGCCAACGTCTGTGGTCACGTGGTTTACGTGAATGCGTGGGGTGGGCGTGACCTCCTGCTGCTGCGTCATTACGTATGGAAGAAGCGCTGGTCTCTTTAATTACGTCATCAAAGACCAAAGTGACGCATTGTTCTGTCAACATTCGACCAGAACACAGATCACAGATCTTCACAGCATTCACTTATTCACCAGAATCAGATATGTCTCACCAGAGTAACAGCACCACAAAGGATACTAGCATAAATTATTCTGCTCTAATGGAAAACCAGCAACTCAGGGAAAACCTACATGAGGCCAATGAAAAAGTGTTGGAATTAGTCAAAAAACTTGAGAGAAAAACAGAAGATGAATCCTGGTTTGAAAAAAAATATAACCAAAAATTACATGAGATCGAACAACTGATGAAAATGATCGAATCACTTGACGACGAGTTTCAAATGTGTGCTAAGAAAATGGAAGACCTAGAAACTGAGCTCAGAGAAAGTGAAGATATAAAGAGATGTCTCGAAGATGTCCTTGAGAAAAAAGATTTGAAATACCAATGGTTGCAATCTGATAGAAACAACCTCATCGAAACTGAACTATCTAGGCGAAAGGAGATTGCCGAACTCAGGGCTAAACTGGCTTCATTAGAATCCAAACTAAAACCAAAAGATCAGTTGAATCAACATTTACAGGTGGTTAACGATTTATTCGTGGAGATAATTCAAAACCTCGAACACGAACTGACTTCATTAAGGGGAAATCTTCAAAACAGTGATGAACGCCTTGAATATTTACAGAAAAGTAAAATGTTACTTGATAGGAAAATTGAACATCAGACAGCTGAACTGAAGTCATTAGAGTTAAAAGTTAAAATACAAGAAGAGCAGATAAGAAATTTACCAGAAAAGAAGGATTTAAACATCAAGAAAATCCAGGAGCTCACAGATGAGCTGACGTTATCAAAGTCACAGATCGAAAGCAAGGATCAGCTGATTGAGAATTTACAGAAAAGTACAGGAAATGTACAGGACAGTCCAGCGCCACAAACATCTAGTTTCCTGGGCAAAGCAACCAAATACGTCTGTGTTGGTCTTGCCGTCTCTGCATTAGTAGGTGTGGGTTTTTCATACTGTCCAAAAGCAACTGCTGTCACCCCTGATTGAAGTCTTGCTCCATCCAAACGTCCTATCTCAAAGATAAGTGACTGAGAGACCAACACAGCATCGTTTATGCACAACGTGTTTTCATACACTTTCTCCCTATAGGTACATGTTTCTGCTTTTTGGCTGAAACCACGGGTGAGGAACCCAGGTCCATCGAGGGCCACATCGAGCCCATTTTAATTTCAACCCTCAACACACCTGATTTGATTCAGCACGTGATTAACAGGCTTCTGCAGGTAGAAGGGCTGCTGAACAGGTGAATCCTCATGCAGGACAGCGGCCCTCAGGGACCAGGGTTCCCCACGCCTGACTTCAACCTTGGTCTGAGGTATTTAGGTTAAATGTTATTTGGCTTTCCGCAACATGATGGGATTTAAGCTGTAGGTTTTAGGGTTCATACTGTTTGAAATGCTTCTTTACTTGTATCTAATATTGGTTCACACTGCGCATCTTCTGAAATTATTCAGCGATTACTGCAGATGGAGCGTCAACACGCTTAGTTATTCAAGACATGGTGGCAACATATCTATCTGTTAGTTTATCCATTTATATAGGAATCAGGAATCCTGGGGACTCCGACATTTTTATTACAAGCATTTCAAGGCAACTAGCGTTCACCCGCACAAATGTTACGTCAAAACGACCGGGCTCAGCCGTGGGATGTGTGGTTTCCCATAAATTCAAAATCTAGAAGACGAACTGACTTCATTAATGATAAATCTTCAAAACAGTGATGAACGCCTTGAATATTTACAGAAAAGTAAAATGTTACTTGATAGGAAAATTGAACATCAGACAGCTGAACTGAAGTCATTAGAGTTAAAAGTTAAAATACAAGAAGAGCAGATAGGAAATTTACCAGAAAAGAATGATTTAAACATCAAGAAAATCCAGGAGCTCACAGATGAGCTGACGTTATCAAAGTCACAGATCGAAAGCAAGGATCAGCTGATTGAGAATTTACAGAAAAGTCAAAACTCAGTCGCTCACATAATTCAGAAGCTCACAGATGAGCTGACTTTTTTAGATTTAACCCTCTGGAGGCAGGCGTTGCAGATTTGCAACAGTTTCGTTTATGCACAACGTGCTTTCATACACTTTCTCCCTATAGGTACATATTTCTGCTTTTTGGCTGAAACCACGGGTGAGGAACCCTGGTCCATCGAGGGCCGCATCGAGCCCATGTTAATTTCAACCCTTAACACACCTGATTTGAATCAGCACGTGATTAACAGGCTTCTGCAGAGGTTGATGGGCTGCTGAACAGGTGAATCCACATGCAGGACAGCGGCCCTCAGGGACCAGGGTTCCCCACGCCTGACTTCAACCTTGGTCTGAGGTATTTAGGTTAAATGTTATTTGGCTTTCCGCAACATGATGGGATTTAAGCTGTAGGTTTTAGGGTTCATACTGTTTGAAATGCTTCTTTACTTGTATCTAATATTGGTTCACATTATTCAGCGATTACTGCAGATGGAGCATCAACACGCTTAGTTATTCAAGACATGGTGGCAACATATCTATCTGTTAGTTTATCCATTTATATAGGAATCAGGAATCCTGGGGACTCCGACATTTTTATTACAAGCATTTCAAGGCAACTAGCGTTCACCCGCACAAATGTTACGTCAAAACGACCGGGCTCAGCCGTGGGATGTGTGGTTTCCCATAAATTCAAAATTTAGAAGACGAACTGACTTCATTAATGATAAATCTTCAAAACAGTGATGAACGCCTTGAATATTTACAGAAAAGTAAAATGTTACTTGATAGGAAAATTGAACATCAGACAGCTGAACTGAAGTCATTAGAGTTAAAAGTTAAAATACAAGAAGAGCAGATAGGAAATTTACCAGAAAAGAATGATTCAAACATCAAGAAAATCCAGGAGCTCACAGGTGAGCTGACATTACCAAAGTCACAGATCGAAAGCAAGGATCAGCTGATTAAGAATTTACAGAAAAGTCAAAACTCAGTCGCTCACATAATTCAGAAGCTCACAGATGAGCTGACTTTTTTAGATTTAACCCTCTGGAGGCAGGCGTTGCAGATTTGCAACAGTTTCGTTTATGCACAACGTGCTTTCATACACTTTCTCCCTATAGGTACATATTTCTGCTTTTTGGCTTAAACCACGGATGAGGAACCCTGGTCCATCGAGAGCCGCCATAAAAAAATAAATTAAAAAAAAAAAGAATCAGCACATGATTAACAGGCTTCTGCAGAAGTTGATGGGCTGCTCAACAGGTGAATCCACATGCAGGACAGCGGCCCTCGGGTTCCACACGCCTGACTTCAACCTTGGTCAGAGGTATTTAGGTTAAATGTCATTGGGCTTTCCGCATCATGATGGGAGCTAAGCTGTAGGTTTTAGGGTTCATACTGTTGGAAATTATTCTTTATTTGTATCTAATATTGATTCACACCGCACATCTTCTGAAATGATTCAGCGATTACCGCAGATGGAGCGTCAACACGCTTAGTTAGTGGTGGAGCTGACCAGGAGGCAGGAATGCAGGCACGGATAAAGTAAAAAATGGGTTTAATGACAGGATACGGCAGGAACAACACGACAAACAACAATGGACCGACAAGAACAATGAGACAAGGAGGGCTTATATAGACAGGGAGGAGCAATTAGGGAAACAGGAAGCAGGTGTGCAGAGTGAGCTGCTGGAGGAAAGGCAGGTGACAACAATTATCTGGACGGGGAAGAGAACCAGTGGAGGGCAGATAAACCTGACACTATATAAAACACAAAACTAAACCTAAAGACTAAGGGAAGAACTCACACAAACACATACACATACTGACACACACAAACTCATACTCACATACAATGAACTGGGGAACAAGAGGCTGGGGCTACAACTAAGACACACAACAGAGATGCAGACAAAGGACACATGAGGGCGCTAAGAGAACACAAAAAGGAATCCAGAGAGGGATGGAGAAACATTAGGAGACACATGGGGAAAGATGCAGACAAAGGACACATGAGGGTGCTATGAGACACAAAAGGGGAATCTAAAGAGGGATGGAAGACATAAGGAGACACATGGGGAAGACACAGACGCAGACCATGACAGTACCCTCCCTCAAAGGGCAGATACAAGACGCCCATGACAAGAACAAGACAAAACCACAAACAAAAGACAAGGACAAAAACAGGACACCAAAACCACAGGGAGGGAGAGGGGGGACCAAACAAAAACAACCCACAAGGGCGGGCGAGGAGGGAACAGGAGACTCAGAGGAACCGGTGACGGGGAGCCAGGAGGCGGGACCAGGAAAACCCTGGGGACAGGGGCCTTGGAGGAGGAGGAGGAGGAAGGGACTTCAGAGGGCGAGGAAGGGTCGCTGGAGACGGGGACTGAGACTGGAACACAGGGGACTCGTGAGGCTGGAACACAGGGGACTCTTGAGGCTGGAACACAGGGGACTCTTGAGGCCGGACGGTGACTCAAGCTTTCGAGACAGGGACGGTGACTGGGGCTTTCGAGACAGGGACGGTGACTGGGGCTTTTCGAGACAGGGACGGCGACTCGACGGCGACAGTGGGAACTGGAACACTTGTGGGAAGGCTTGCGGGAGCTGGAACGCTTGAGACTTGGGGAACTGGAACGCTTGAGACTTGGGGAACTGGAACGCTTGACTGGACTGGACAGGAAACACTTGACTGGACTGGTCAGGAAACACTTGACTTGACAGGAACACCTAAACTGCAGCAGCCGGGCGTAGGACCCAGCAGAGACTGCAAGAGCAGGCGTGGAACAGGCATGACACATTTATCTGTTGTGTATTAT